GCCAGGAAGGACAGAGATGAGGGAAGCTGCAGCAGGCTTGAGGGAGCAGCTACAGGTGAGCGCTAAAGGGAGAAAAACCGGCTGCCGCAGGGCATAAAGAAACTGAATCCAGCTCCAGGAAGATGGCTGGGGACCCCTGACTCAAGGGGTTTGTCTACATGGGAGCTGAAAGGGGTAAATTCCTGCTCAAGGAGATGCACCTGCACTAAACACGCTAAAAATAGCAGCGTAGCCACCGCGGTGCGAGCAGTGGGAGGGGCTAGCTGCACTGAGTATGTATCTAGTGTCTTGGACTTGTGCATGCTAGCTCCTGTCACCACTCACGTCGCTGTGGCTACACTCCATTTTTAGCACACTATCTCTCTCAGGGCTGTGGATATGTCTCCTCAAGCTGGAATGTACACCTTCCAGCATCAGGACAGACGTAGCCAAGGAGAGAGAGAGAGACTGAATTGAACCCAGCTCCAGGAAGGAGGGCTGGGGATTCCTGACTCAAGGGGAGAGAGACAATGAACTGGGGTTGGGATCTGGAGGGTCAGTGTGTGTAAGGACTAAATAAGCTGGACTCCAGAGGGGAGTGTTTTAATGACTGTTGGACTGTGATGCTGAGTTATTGAGAAGCCCAGGGAGGAAAGGGAAACTGAAGCAAAGCACCACAGAGCCACTCCTGGCCACCTGGAGCCTCCCAGGAGGCGGCTGGCCCTGTTACACTGGTTCAGTATTCAATATCTTTATCAGTGATCTGGAAGAAAATATAAAATCAGTGCTGAAAGTTGGCAAACGACACAAAGCCTGGTAATAACTAGAGACGGGGCCAGGATTATGCAGAATGCTTGGAAAGCTGGGAGTGAACAAACATGAGGTTTAATACAGCCTAATGCAAGGTCATACATCTAGGAACAAATAATGCAGGTCACACGTGCAGGATGCAGGACTGTATCCTAGAAAATAGCAGTTTTAGAGGTGATTCTAGTCTATTCTATTCTGTTTTATTCTATTCTATACAGGTTCTTATGCCACCCTCATGACCGCAGTATTGGAGCACTTTCCAGTGGTGCATCAGCAACATGACTGAGCACTGTCGTATGTGGCTAACTAGTAGAAGATGGGCTCCCAATGTGATCTTTGGACGTATAAATGGGGATATTGAGTAGGAGTAAGGAAATGGTATTTCCTCCATGTGTAGCACTGGTGGGACCATTGCTAGATATTGTGTTCAGTTCAGGCATCCACACTCTGAAAAGGATGTTGAAAAATAGGAGTGAGTCCAGAGAAGAGCCATAGCAACGTTTCAGGAATTGGAGAGCCTCCCTTACTGCAGAATGCTGAGCTCAGTCTATTTAGTTTATCCATGAGATGATGACTTGATCAAGTCTGTAAGTACCTACACGGGAAGGAGAATTCTGATAGCACAGGGCTGTTTAATCTAGCACACAGTGGTGTAATGGTGCAGGTCTAGAACCCAAGGGTACAGGTCTAGAACCTGGGGCTGTGAGGGCCCTGGATTGCTGACACTCCTTTGTCACTACCCAGGGAGATGGGTGAAGCAGCCTCTCATTAAACCTGAATGGTCAGGCCCCACAGGAAGTTTTGTCAGAGTACCCAAGACCTGTGGCCGCCTGATTGTCTCACACCTGCTACTTAAGCCAGGCAGTGAGCTGAGTGGCTGTCTGAGCAATTGTGCAGACTTCCTACTGCTGCCACACTGGCCTTTGCTCTTGACTGGCACCTGCAATCCAGATCCAACCCTGTCCTGATTCCCGACCTGTTCCTCTTTCCTAGCTCCTGCCCTGTGCCTGATCCTTGCTACTCTTTGGTTCCTGCCCTTTCATCTTGCTCCTGACCATCAGCTACCAGTTGTGGCTCTGACGTCTGATTCTGGCTCAACCCTTGGCCCTGGCACATAGTACCTGACCCTGGCTCCGATCCTCAGCTTTGGTTCCTGGTCCTGACTCTGGTGTGACTCCCTGGCTCTGGTTGTTGGCCATTGACTCTGGCTCTGATCCCTGCTTCTGTTCCCTGGCCTAGATGCCTGCTCTGCTCACTAGACCTGAGGCTTGCTCTGGCCCTATGCCAGACCACCTACATCCCAGTTCCTAACACATAACGTGATCTAACAGCTGCAAGCTGGAGCTTAACAAATTCAAACAAGAAAGAAATGTACATTTTTAACAGCGAGGGCGATTAGCCACTGGAACAATTTCGTAAAGGTTCATGGTGGATTCTCCATCCCTGGCAATTTTGAAATCAAGATTGGATGTATTTCTGAAAGATCTAGTCTAGCACAACAAGAAGTTACTGGGCTCAATGCGGGAATCACTGCATGAAATTCTCTGGCCTGTGCTGTGCAGGATGTCAGACAGGTTATCATCATGGTCCCTTCCAGCCTTGGAATCTGTGGTTCCATGAAAATCTGACCGTGGAAGCTGTGCAGCCCTGGTTTACATGCTGATGTAGGTGGTGCTGTAAAGTGTAACAAAAGAGAGGTTCTTTCTCAAGACGGGCTTTTTGCAATCTGGTGACTTGCTCCTGGCTTCTCTCTGCTCTGGCCAGGGAAACTATATTAGGATCTCGTGAGTGCACTTGCTTAAAGCGTACTACAGAGGCACTAACATTATTTTCCTGGCCTAAGTGAAATGTAACTGCTTTACAAAACCAAGTCTTGTCTACACTGGGAATGTTACAAACATTTCCCACTGGTGTTAAGTGTGGTCCAGTGGAGCAGTTGAGAGTTCCTGTGGGTATTGTTTTGTAGAGTTCTTAGTGTACAGCTGGCCGAGCTTGGTTCACTGAAGGAAACTTCTTGGCAGAGAGACTGGACACAACATTTCTACAGCCTATAGGTGCTGGTTGCTGTCTGGCAGGGAGAGTGATACTTGGCCCTCCTGCCACTGGTAAGCTGCATATGCAACCGCTGTTGTTTTTTGAACTCTGCAAGCCATTCTGAGGGACTTTAGCTTTGAGAACTGAGTTGGACCTCCCATATGGTCATGTCAGTCACAAGACAGGCCCAAGAATGTTTCTATTAAAGGAAAAGGACTAACACTGATATCTTTTGGTGATATTTTTGCCAGGATAACTTTTCCTCTTGTTCTTTCTTTCTCTTTTTTAGCTTGCTGTCCATCCTTATTGCTTCCTCCTTCTCCTCCTCCTCGTTAGTTCTGGTTTAGTTTGTTACCAGTATTTCTGTGGCACGATCGCTCAGTCTCTGAGTGCCTGATGTTGTTAATACAGTCTCTGGCTGTATGAAGTTGGGGTGTTTAGCTGTAGGGGATGCCTCTCTCCAAATCACCATAGGGATTTTGCTTATTTGTGAATGATGGTTTGCAGAGCAAACCCTGCAGAGATGCAAACCAACTTCCCATCAGGTTGGCACATGCTCTGTTTGGATCAGTGGGCCATACCCTGGCCTGTCTATGGCCCCTTTATGCTGCTCTGCCAGCGCAAAGGGGCCATAAAGCTGTCTTGACCAGCCCTGTGAGGATTTCTTCCCCAAAGGGGGAATCCCTTGGGGAGTTGGAGCTGTGGTGCCCCTCCTGACTCCTGCTGTATGAGATGTGGCTGGAGAAAGAGGCATGCTCACAGCACCATGGCACTCTGGCTATCCTCAGAACAGCCTCTTAGGAGCCATCTGGAGCTTAGGGCAACCAGCATTAGTCTTTTCTCAGTTGTGCTGGGGGCCAAACTGGGTCCAGCTGACTCCCGAATTGGGGAGCCACAAAGTGGTGTAAAGCCACCGTTGCCATGCCTTGCTTCCAGCTATGTTCTTGTGCCGAGCACAGGCCAATCTTCGCAGAGGAGAGGTCCCTGCATCTCCAGGTCGCAAGGGTTGCTTTTGTTATGGTCACACCGTTATGAATTCTTAATGACTCAGGAAGTTCAGACCTTCCAGATATTCCCCCAGATCTGTCAGCTTGACCTTTTGATGTTCCAGAAAGTGTCGGAATGCTGTGTATCATTGGTGCAGAGTGTCTAAGCCAGTGGTCCCCCAACTTTTTTATCTATGCCCCCCCCTCCCCTGTATCTGGTCTGCACTCCCGCGGGAGCCAAGGGTGGGAGTGGGGCCATGGTTGGGGTGGGTCCGGAGCAGAGCTGGGGCAGAGCAGGGCTGGGTGGCACTCCCTCCCCGCCCCCCCTCCGTAGCAGCTGGTCCATGCCCTGCTATGCCCCCCTGAATGTTTCTCCACGCCCCCCTAGGGAGGTGTGCCCCCCAGTTTGGGGACCACTGTTCTAAGGCATGGAAAATGACTTCCCCACAGGCCAATGAGACGAGTGCATTCCAGAGCAGGGGAGTCCAAGGCACAGGTAGCAGCTGGGCCTGCTGCCTAAACAGCATCCACCAGAGCACAAACAAAGTAATACAGAAATATTTGTGGCTAAAAGCCGCCATTCGTCACCTTTCAGACTCCTGCTGTCATATGCCTTAATAGCACGACTGGTTATTTTGTAATTGCTGTGTCCAATTGTGCAGAAAGGACGCTATATGGTTGAAACACATTAGGTCAGTGCAGTGTACTTTATTGATCACCTCGTTTCCTGCACTATCATACCATGCTCATTACATGCTCTTCACATTTTTCCTGTGATATTCTTGGGCTGTTGGGCAGCTGTGGGATTTTTTTTATGCAGAGACTTTAGCATGGTTTTAATACTTTTAAAACTGATTTTGTTGAACGTTAAAAGTAGAAACATCTCCTTGGAAGTGCATGAGGGGCTTAGTCCTGAGAGATACTGAGCATTGTCAGTTCCCATTGACGTTTGTAGATCCCAATAGATGCTGGTTGGTCACCTATGGGTTCTTGATTTCTGACTGCCCACAAACCTTTTTGTTGTTTTTTCCTATTTTGCCCTTGTCCTTTCAGTTTCTGTGCAGCCCTGTCCCAGTGCAGCTGGCTTCACAGTGTATTTTAGGTGGATTTACATAGGGAAAGGCTTTGAGTCATGCTTTAATTCTCTTTACAACTCTCTTCTCTTCCTCTCCTTCAAGTTTTAAGGGGGAGACTGCATTCCAGAAATCCACTCATCTTGCTCATCTCGCTTCTGTAGATACACAACCAGGTTTGTGCTTTTTGTCTTGCCTGTTGTAAAAGTTGTAGTTCTTGTGGGTTTTTTAAAACACTACTAGGACCTAATATTAAGATGGATCCTTCCTTTATTGGGGAAACTTTGGTAAAGTTGAACGGATCCTGGAGTCCAACAGCCTAAATAAACATTGCCTGTTCTAACTTTTCTAATTTATAGGCTTCCAGGGGTGAGGATGTGCCCTGAAATAAAAAGGGATATTGCAATTCTTCAGCAGTGAGCTTAACACACTTAAGTGTTTCCAGGACCTTTGGTAAAATGGTGAGAGACAGACTTCCCTAGCTTCGTTCTGCTGTATGAAGACAAAAGTGCATTTGATGAGATTTCAGACTGTTACTGTTTACTTTTTGCCTGTGTCTGAGCAAATGCTGCTGCAGCGAACCTGAACGGAATGATACTTAATATAGGAGAGCGGTCTGTTGTACAACACAGAGATTTCAACAAGGAAAATTGTGTATTTAAAGTTTTTATTTTGACAGCATTGAGATCCCATAACATTTGTTTAAGTGGTTTTAGGGGGAAAAACAATCCGAAAATGTTACTTCAAATGAAGGGCTCATTTGAAGTGTCCAGTGCATATAATCAGACTGCCTATACATTACTTCCCAACTGGCTGTGCATTAATTGGTCTAAATCACTACAGAGTGCAGGGATTCCTGCTAGTTATTTATTGATGAGGGTATATGCGCTATACCTCTTAGCATGCCCACCTATACAAAAACTGCCACATCATCTGATTGCCATAGTACTCCTATTGGAAAATCATTCTCTCCAAGGCTTTTTATCTGAGCTTGTTTCCTGCTGCCTATCCCAGACTGCCTGCCTGTTGGAGCCACGTCTCTGTGTGTGTAGATTTCCAAATCCATACACAGAGAGTCATCAGCTGCTGCTGGTTTACAGTAATTGTCTTAGTTTTCTTGAAAGTCGAACTGAAAAATAGGTCCACAGCATTAGCACTTGAGTGCTGTTACCTAGTGCGGGATGGATGTAATGTAAGAGGAGCAGCTAGACAGAACGGTTCTTCAGATCTAATTGAGCCCATAATGCCAAGGGCAGCAGGAGAAGCACTGTCGCTTGACTGAGTATAAGTAAAATAAAGCAAAGTTTCTGCACCGTGAGGTTCTGCAATACATGCTGGAGGAGGCATGGTGAGGTTGGAGCTGGGTGGATTCTACCCTTCTTCAGGCTGGAGTTGCTCAAGGACAGGGTTTACCCTCTCATGCTCTCGTTTCTTTCTCTCCATCCGACTCTCCATTCTGGTCACCAGGAAAATGATCACACAATAGCCTAACACTGGATTTGAATGCAGCATCTCTCCCAACCTTGGCATCTCTTTGTGGGAGTAAACCAGTCACTTCCTGTCAAGGTGGTCCTTTCTCAGGGGGACCCTTCCTGCTTGTAACAGGGAGGCAGGAAGTTCTGTCTTTTTTGTGTGGACAACATGCAATACAATATCGTGATTTTATGTAGTGTCCTCATGTCTTTCATATACACTCCAAATGCCCCCAAGTGCTTGAGCGAGCTCATACCTCAGTCACTGTTCAAACCCTGCATTTCTCTGAGGGTGAAATTCACCCTGGGTGGAGGCCCAGCACAAGGCTTATGTACTGTTCACGTCTTACTTTAGCCACGTTTTAAAGAGATGCATAGGCCGTGCATGGATCCTCAGCCCAGGGTAAATTTCACTCATGTCCACCATCTCCCCAGGGCAGTATGGAGACTTTTGTTGTGACTACGTAATGGCATAGGTGTGCATGACACGTCCGACATACTGCTCCAAGGAGCCTTCATTCCATGGCTCTGACCCTGCTCCTGCAGTAATAAGTGCGTATGGGCCAAATTCTCTAGCACACCAGGGTGATACGAAGTGATACGTAGTGTGCTTCCAGTGATACGAAACAGCCATAAACTTGGCTCAGCTGGTGGCTAAACTGGGCTTACAGTGGCTCAGCGTCCCCATACAGTAATACAAGGCAGCCAGAGTATATGGGCGATTCTTGCCCGACGTTTTCCCATCACCATAGAAAGATTAATTAATTCATTGACATTAGCGATTCATTGTAATACCCCATGAGGTAGGCAGTTATCATTAGCCTCATTTTACAGATGGGAAGCAGGACTCAGATTCTCCCCACCCTGGAGGTTTTGTTCTGTTTCAAAGCATATGACTTATAAAACTTTCCAGTGTTTTTAATTTTCAGTGACAGTTCAGGAAACAGACAAATATGCTCTGCACCATTTGCAACTCAGCACGACAACACTGAGAACTGTGAGTGAAAGGAATACTACTCAGGCAGTTTACTTCACTTAAGGGGTTTGTCCAGCCCAGCTTTTAAAGGCCACATCATTGTTATGCTACCTCTCTTCTCCAGATTCACTTCTTTTGGTCAGTTTATCACTACTAATTTCTGCCCTAAAGCCTGCCATTTAAAAATCCCACCCGGTCCAAACCAAACATTGAAAAAGTAACAAACAAGATGCATACGAGAGAAAATGTATATGATCTACGGTCCTTGTAAACAGCTGGGGGAGGGCGGGGGGGAAATCCAAAATGGTACTTAGGCGCTTCATTGTTCAGCATTGCAGCACCTAACTTCTAGGTGCCTAAAAGATCACAGGGACAACACTGTGATCCACAGAACCTGAGTTAAGCACCGAGACTCTATACAATGAAGGGGGAGAGAGAAGCGCTTTAGACTGCAGTCCACAAAAGCCAGCATGGTAGGTGGGGAGTTGCCTAAACTAATTGATGGGAGGTGCATAGGAGAGGGAGGTTCTAAGCACTGCCCCTCACTTGATGATTGGTGCCTCCCTGCAATCTGGCTTTAGGTGCCTATCTCTGCTTAGTGATCTACGAATGGGAATCTGCCTCCTTAGGCGCCTAAATTGTTTCTTGTGAGATGAGTGGATGATGGAGGGAAGGAGAGAGGAGGCTGAAGGGAAACCTCAAGACTTGCAGATGCAAGTTGGACAAGAGTACTGTGAGGGTAGACTTATGGATCAAGGAAGTGGCCCATAGAAGCAGGTGACTATGAGAATCACGCAGAGGAAAAGTCTGGCTAGCGATGGAGAAATACAGCTGAGGAACAAGTTCACTGAGCTGGAAACTGAAAGGAAGAGGCAGGCAGTAACAGAAGATGGGAGAACAAAAAAGAAAAGAATAGCTGGCCCTACAAGGATAGGGGAAGAGTCAATGGACATAGCCAGAGTTTGGAGTCTGGGATGACTCACAGATTGCAAGGGAGAACAAAACACAAGAGGACTTGTAGCCAGAAAGAACAGAAGGAGGAAGGCCAGAGAATTGCACCAACACCAGGAAGAGGTAGGTCTGCTTGAATGAGGACTCACTACTAACAAGAACAGACAAGCCTGTCACCAGAGCTGATCTGGAGAACAGAAAGGTGTGTTGTCTGCCAGGAGTGGATGGGACTGAGGCGGAATAGGATCCTCATGGGAGTGGGAAAGAATCTACTGTTTGTCCTTCTCATGGGAACAAATGATACAGCTGAATTCTCACTGAAACATATCAAAGGAGACTACGCCAGGCTGGGGAAGATGTTTGAAGAAATGGAGGCTCAGGTGACCTTCATTGGGATTCTACCTGTCCCTAGACTAGAGGAGCAGGGCAAAGGTGAGATGAGATTGTGATGATCAACAGATGGCTCACGCAGTGGTGCTATAAGGAAGGCTTTGGGATGACTACTGGGAGGCATTCATGGGCTGAGGGCTGTTCCCGTGGGATGGGCTCCACCTGAGCAGGGAGGGAAATAGATTTCTGGGATGGAGGCTGGCACAACTGATTAAAAGAGCTTTAAACTAGGAAATCAGAGGAGGCGGTTGGGAGGTCTGAGATAGTCTCCACACCTGATTCGAATAATGAGTGGGAGGAAAATCAAGTGAAAGAGGATACATCGGTGGAGAAAGGAACACGGGTAGGAGAATGGACAACAAGAGGACGGGTGCCAATACCAATGACACTAAGTCAGGTAGTTGATGCTGGCAGCGGAATGACTGCACATCATTGGGTGAGGACTGTGGGCGAAGCTGAGCAGAAACAACTAAGATGTCTGTCCACCAATGCAAAGAGCCTGACACACAAGCCTAACAAATGGAGGAACTAAAACCACTGGTGCAGGAGGCGAAGCCAGATGCTGTAGGGGTAATGGAAACATGGTGGAATAATAATCATGACAGGAGCACCGGAAGGACAGAAATAAAGGTAAAGAGGGTGGAGTAGCATTGTATATTAATGACGTGCTAGACTGTAAAGAAATTAGAAGTGATGGAATGGATCAAACAGAACCTCTTTGTGCCAAAATCACATTGGAGAAGAAAGGTAACAGAGGCTCCAATGGGACAGTGCTGGAGTCTGCGAGACCCCCCTTCCCAGGATCCAATCGGGATATGGAGAGAGACCTCTTTAACATTTTAATGAAATAAATGCTACTGGGAATTGTGTGATTATGGGAGACTTTAATTTCCCAGATGTTGATTGGAGGACAAACGCTACTAATAAAGGCAGGGCCCAGACATTCCTGGATGTGATGGCTAAGAGATTTCTTCACCAAATAGTCCCCGAACCAACAAGAGGCAATGTCATTTTAGATTTAGTATCAGTAAATAGCAATGACTTCATAGAAGAACTTGTTAAATGTAGAGGACAGCCTTGATTCGAGTGATCATGAATTTAAACTAAATGGAAGGATAAACAAAAATAGGGCTGCAACTAGAATCCTTGATTTCAGAAGGGCAAACTTAAAAAAAAATTAAGGGATTTAATTAGGGAAGTGGGCTGGAGTGAAGAACTCAAGGATCTGAATGTGGAGGAGGCTTGGAACTGCTTTAAGTCAAAGTTGCAGAAACTATATGGAGCCTGCATCTCAAGCAAGGGGAAAAAAATCATAGGGAAGGGTTGGAGGCCAAACTGGATGAACAGGCATCTCAAACAGGTGATTAAGAGAAATCAGAAAGCCTACAAGGAATGGAAGAAGGGATGGATCAGCAAGGAAAGCTACCTCTTGGAGGTCAGAAAGTGCAGGGATAAAGTGAGAACTGCCAAAAGCCGAGCAGAGCTGGACCTTGCAAAGGAAATTAAAAACCCATAGTAAAAGGTTCTTTCGCCATATAAATAAAAAGAAAAAAAGGAAAGAAGAAGTGGGACCACTAAGCATTGAGTACGCCAAAGAGTAATTGGGATAAAAACACTGTTTTACTAATGGTAGATCGTGCCAGACTAACTTGATCACTCTTTGAGGAGATAACTGATTATCTAGATAAAGGAAATGCAGGAGATATGATCTACCTGTAAGCATTTGAGACAGTTCCACATGGGAAATTATTAGTTTTCACTGGAGAAGATGTGGTGTAATACAAGAATTGAAAGATGCTTAAGGAACTGGATGAAGTGGAGACAACAATGGGTCATGCTGAAAAGTGAACTGTCAGGCTGTAGGGAGATTACTCGTGGAATTTCTCAAGACTTGGTCTTGGGACCAATCCTATTTGACATTTTCATTAGTGAGGTTGGCACAAAGAGTGGGAGTGTGCTAAAGAACTCACATGCTAATGAAATTTGTGGATGACACCAAGTTGGGAGGTACTGCCAATACAGAGGAGGACCGGAATATCATACAAGAAGATTCGGACAATCTTGGAAACTGGAGTAAATAGAAATGGGATGAAATTTAATAGTGCAAAGTGCAAGGTCAAGCACTTAGGGACTAACAACAAGAATATTTGCTAGAAGCTGGGGACGTATCAGTTAGAAGCAACAGAGGAGGAGAAAGACATAGGTGTATTGGACCATCACTGGATGACTATGAGCCCCTAATGTAATGTGGCTGTGAAAAAGACTAATGTAATCCTAGGATGGATCAGGTGATGTATTTCCAGTAGAGACAGGGAAGTGTTAGTACCACTAGATAAGGCATCTGGAATACTCTGTGCAATTCTGGTCTCCCAGGTTTAAGAAAGATGAATCCAAACTGGAACAGGTGCAGGGAAGGGCTACTGGGATGATCAGAGGAATGGAAAACTAACCTTATGAGAGGAGACATAAGGAGCTTGGCTTGTTTACTGTAACCAAACGAAGGCTTAGGGGAGATATGATTGCTCTCTGTAAATACATCAGAGGGATAATCCTGAGGAAGGGGAGGAGTTATTTAAGTTAAGGGCCAATATTAGCACAAAACCAAAGGGCTATAAACTGGCCATCAATAAGTTAAGGCTTGAGATTAGGCGAAGGTTTCTAACTATAAGAGGAATCAAGTTCTGGAACAGCCTCCCCAGGGGAGTAATGAGGTCAAAAATCCTAACTTGTGTCAAAACTGAGCTGATAAATTTATGGAAGTGTTGGTATGATGAGACAGCCTATAACAGTATATGGCCCACCTGTGACTGCTATTAGCAAATATCTCCAATGGACAGAGATGCAAAACTAGATGGAGAGAGCTCTGAGTTATTACAGATAATTATTTCCTGGGTGTCTGGCTGGTGGGTATTGCCCACATGCTCAGGGTCTAACTGATCACCATATTTGGGGTCTGGAAGGAATCCTCCCGGGTCAGATTGGTAGAGACCCTGGGGGGTTTCACCTTCCTCTGCAGTGTGGGCCATGAGTCACTTGCTGGTTTGAACTAGAGTAAATGGTGGATTCTCTGTAACTTGAAGTTTTTAAATCAAGATTTGAGGACTTCAGTAACTCAAGTTATAGGCCTATTACAGCAGTGGGCGGGTGAGGGTCTGTGGCCTGCAATGTGCAGGATGTCAAACTAGATGATTATGATGGTTTCTTCTGGCCTTAAACTTAGTGAGCCTGAGACTACAGAGTTACTCTCTGTCTCTCGGCCCAATGACTATTGAAATGTTTATCCACCTCCTCCAGCTGGATTTTGAATGGGAACTGATCTGGTAGGCAGCCTCTGAGCATGCCTACTGGATCAGGCCCCACATGCAACTTCAGCGGACAAATGCCTACCTTCCCCAGAGTTCATGAATCTCTCTGGGGCTTAGGTGGGAGATAGGTATCTGGCAGTCCAGAGTGACCCAGCAGTGCACATGCCCAGAGGCAGAGGGAACTTTTACCCTGAACTTAGGCCCCAAGTGAGTTTAGGCACCCACAGGTTTTAGCAGGAGTTTTGTGGATCACAGTGGAGCCGAAACTGGGATTCAGGCATCTAAACCCCAGACTTAGGTGCCTATGTCTGGGGTTTAGGCACCTAAGTAGCTTTGTGAATCCCACCTCTACTCCCTTCCCATTGCTCTGTGTTGCTGCCACCCTTCCAAGGCCGAGATCCTCGGCTCCCTTTGCACTTCCCGGATACAGGGCCTGCAGTGTAGTGTGCCTGTCCCCTGTAAGTTGTGCTGCTGCCCAATCATGCACCTTATAAGGGCTGCAGGAGGGATCCTCTCTCTTGTGCCACTCTAAGAGATGTGCAGCGAATAAGGGAAGGGTGCAACAGGCATCACTCAGCCCCTGGGGTGCACACTGGGCCACGTTCATACCTGGAGTAACTTCATTCGGTCCAGTTGAGGTACATCAACTCCTCATTAGGTTCTCACACTGCAGCGCTCCTGGACATGCTGGCTGGGGAGAAGGAGCCTGGGATGGAGCCCAGACTGCCTCCAGCAATGCAGAGTCCAGTCCACGAAGCAGACCTCTCGCTGGTTCTCACTGAACAGAACTGAAACTTGGCCTGATGTCCACTGCCCTTTCCTGGATGTCAGAAGAGCTGCTGTCCCATAGTCCACTCTTCACGTGTCCCTGCATCTATGAGAAACTCCAGACCCCTTTGGCAGCACGTTCTTCTGCTACACTTCTAAAATATTTGTTTTGCCTCTCTCCTCTGTTTAATGATTGGTTTGTATTCTAGCTTATATCATTGGGGGGAGTGGTTTGCAGTCTCCTTTCCCAGTGGCATACAGTTGCTCTCTTTTTCTCCTAATCCTTTCCTGCATTCCTTGCATGTATTGTCTCTTTGTTTTAGAGCACGACTCTCTCTCCTTTGAGATGCTAGTTGCATTTTTATTTGATGATCTTCACGTGACATCTTCACATCCTGCCCACTTTGTGGCACTAACTTCCTCTGCGGAACTCACACATGCATGTCAGACCACAGGTCTGAGCCTTCCAGCTGCCCTTAGGGAACGACCACCTCTTCTCTCTGATACACAGCTCGCTATTTTCTGATTATTATTCCAGCCTGAAGAAGTCTAATGGTCGAATGACCAACTCTAACCTTACTTTCTTATTCAGCATGTACGTGGTTAGCTGTGTTTGATCTCTGCAGAAGAACTTGTTTTATATCCAGAAAGGGCATACGGGCTATTACCAGGGAAAAGGGGGCAGAGCTACCAAGAAACCTGTGAATCAAAGGACTGTGGGCTCTGAGGCCAGAAAATAGCCTATAGCAGCAGGCGAGATAACCACTAAGGTTCCTTTAAATGAATAAGATTAGCACTGATATGAAGCTGAGAGTCACCTTTATGGAGGGATTCTAACCAAAAATTCAAGAACAAAACTGGCTATAGAATCAGGTAATCTGGATCTCATGGATGAGTGAGAGCACCTCGCCCTGGAGACAGGGAGAGAAAGGAGGGGGAAAGGAAAGTTGATATTCTATCTGTCTCTGTGCTTGAATTTAACATTTTTAGCAAGGCTTGTGTCTTACAAGGACTAATCTATATGTGGCTGAAACCCTTTCTAACTGTGCACTTCTTCTCTGCCTGGCTGTTAGCAATGTTTGTGACCCTGGCGCTCCAGAGGCCGCCCTAGCCCCCTTTGGCTTCCAGAGCATAGTACCTGGCAAGTCTTGGGGATGGGAGTGTTGCATACAGTCAGCTAGAAACCAAAATAACAGAAAATGAATCAGCTGCTCTGTTAAAGCAAGATTTATTTATTTATTTATTTTGCCTGGTACAATTACGGCTTTCTTCGTTGTTCCCACCCTGATACTCAGGCTGTATGCAAGGATTTGGCATTGGCCCATCTTTGAGTTGCTGGCTATGAGGCCCAAGAGCACTAGGACCCTGCATGGTGTAGCCAGTAACTTGTCATCTCTTCAGTTGGTGCTGTGGACTTGGGGCCTGGTTGCTTCTGCCAGGTTTGTGCATGGAGAGAGCTGAGGAATTTGTAAAGCAGGCTGTTGCTTGCTGTGCTCCGAGGTGAGTTTGCCCTTCTTCCCAGAGATGCTGTTTCTGATTGGCTCTAAACCAGAGCTGTTGAGATGTAGTTTCAACAGCATCAATGCAATGACCTGCACTAACCCTCCTTTTCTCCCTTTTGTTTTTCTTCTCAGATAAATGGCTCATTTAAATTGGGAGCTACTAAAATACTTTCTGGCTGGCAAATGCAGTGCCTAGTAGCAGCTATCAGGGAGGAACCAAACATGAGTGGGGGAGGGGAACAGGTCGACATTCTGCCGGCCAACTACGTGGTCAAGGACCGTTGGAAAGTGGTGAGTAGCTCTGACTCTGAATTTCCACTACTGGCCCAAAAGGCTCTTCTCTGTGATGCTGTAAAAGTGCTTCTTGCTGGTCCCAGGATTGATCAGACGGCACTGACTGGGGGAATCTGGGTCAGGGCATGAAAGAAAGTGATAAATATTACACCAGTTTTTTGAGACATCTGATGTTTTAGAACAGCAAACCTGCCAGGGATTTCTGGGTAGGATGAACTGCTGCTAGTGACCTGATTAGCAAAGCTCTCAGACTCTGCGATACTACATTGCCAGTTTTCAAGTCCTTGCTCTAGAACCCAGCGGTGCTGGAATGTTTCAATCAAATGTTTGTAATCATGTTTTAACGCTGGCAAACACAATGTATTTTACCTTAACCCCATCCTCAGAAACAGCAGATCCAATATAGGTGAAATCAGTTTCCAAAATCAGTCAGCTGAAGGTAGACGTTCGGCAAGAAAAATATTGGCTTGAACAGTTTGTTTGACAAAGTTATAAGCAGCTGAACACAGGGTCTCAAAATGGAAAGTGTCATTCAGCCTTAACTATGGACGTTGCTACCAGCTCTGCCTATAATAAATTAATGAGCTGAGGAAGTTGCTCTGTCCCTGTCAGCAATAATTGACTCTGGTTGTTGTAGAAATAATAATACTCAGCATTTAAAATGCTTTACTCACACTAATCCTCACAACAATCCTTTGAGGTTAGTAAATATTACCTCCAGTTTACCATTCAGGAAACTGAAGCCAAAGGAAGTGACGTGCCTTCCTCAAAGCCATAGAAAGAGGTGATGGGAACTTTGGAGGTTCTGATTCCCAGCTGTAGGCTCAAAGTGCTGGACCACACACAATCTGAGTTGTGCACTGAGGGCCCAGAGTTTGGAGTAGCAAGCAGATTTATTTTGGCAGTCCTGGGTTCACACAGGACACAAGCTTTACCAACGCTAGTAAATCTCATAGATGCGCTCTCACGCATTTATCTGTATGAAACCCCTTAGCAGCCTTAGCTTGTCCCTACTAGATGTAATGGATGAATATTGCTTACAATTAATCTGAAAGCTTTGTTGAGCTCACTGGGAATGTTCAACAGCTGGCTAAGTGTGGGCATAGAATTAATCATGTACCTTTCTTGTGTTGTGGAAGGTGCCTTGTTGCAGAAAGACCTATTTAAATGAAGAATAAATTAACTGAATTTCTTTCAGGAAGGGAGGCTAGCCTACTCCGGTGCTGTGTTAATTATGTCCCCTCTCACCCTTTGCCTGTCTTGTCTATTTAGATTGTAAACTCTTACGGGCAAGGATTGTCTCTTACCAGTGTTTGTGTTTGTACAGTGCCTAGCACAATGGGGCTCTGATCTCACTTGGGACCTCTGGGCACTACCATAATATGAAATATAAATACAAAAAAGAGAAATTAAATGAGCTGGAGTCTGTGTTGTAGATGTGGCTTTATTTTGAGGTTCTGGTCGTATACTTTTCTAGTTTGCTGGAAGAAGTGTAATTAGTAGCTGTCCTTACTTTTCCTCTGCATTGTTTAATACTGCTTCAGCACATCCCATCTACAGATTAGGGCACTGGTAGTTGATGATCTCCATGTGTACTGTGTCCCAAGGCAGCTGGTAGGCAGATGGCATGTGTCACAAGGATTCACTATGCCTAGTCACTGGCAAGTGCTTGCACTGGGTTAATTTCTTTTGTAAAGCTTTTCTGTCTGCATTAGTTGTGGCCAGACCATGACACCATGATACATTGTGTGGCAGAATCTTGCAGCTTTTTATGATTACGGTTTGGATGGGAGGAAAGAATACTTTAAAAAGAATGCAAAGGACAGCATGGCATTCCTGTTAGTCAAAGGAATGCATTCAAAGTTATCTTGCTGTGGGGTGTGTTGGGGTACTAGCTTCTCTAAGTACTTAGCACTTATCATTTCCAAGGTTTAGTGCACCCAAATATTGCACTGGTTTAGCTAAAATCAGTTTTTAATCTGATTTAATTAAGATGGTGCAGCCCCTTTCATGGATGAACTTAAATCAGTTTACAACTGGTTTATAGCTAGGCTTTCAAGGATTAGATTTGTATCATTAAAATGTAGATAAACGTCAATTTCACTGTATAGCCACAAACTGACAAAATATTTCCATTGATAATTGAAATTTACAGATAGGCAAAAAAAGAGAAAAATGCTGCTTAAGAACTTAGTTTGATTTAAGGATATTGACAGTACGTTTTGACGTGATGTTGACAATTTGTGTTTTAATGGTTATAAAGCTTTAACTTTTGAATATCAACAACTACTGTCTCTAAATAATTGTCTGACCTCCCCTCTATAATTTCCTGCAACTGTGAAAACTTAAATTGATAAGAATAGGGGGGAAATGTTTAAACCACATAATTTTGGGCGAATTTGAAAATTTGAATAGATAAAAATTGAAAAAAATGCTTAAAAATAAATTTATATTGTCCATCAAAACTATTAAAAAAAACAGATTCTGCCAAACCTTCCTATAGTGATTTGGTGCTACATTAATATAGATCAGTTGTAAACCAAGTGAAGACTGAGTAAATGTCACCTTGGAGTGTGATGCAGAGATAAAATTTCTACACACCATCAATGACTGCTTCTTGGAACAGCTAGCCCTGGAACCCACAAGAGGAGAGGCAATTCTTGTATGAGTCCTAAATGGAGCACAAGATCTGGTCCAAGAGGTGAATATAGCTGAACCACGCAGTAATAGTGACCGTAATGTGGGGGGGATAATACCAAACCCCTCCCAAAAAACCCCAACTGCAGTAATATTTACCTTCAAAAGGGAAACTACACAAAATGAGGGGCTATTTAAAAACACCATAATGGAGGCTCAGAGTAAATGTGTACCCCACATCAGAAAAAAACAATAAGAGGACTAAAAGAATGCCACCATGGCTAAACAGCAGAGTAATGGAGGCTGTTAGAGGCAAAAAGACATCCTTTAAAATTTGGAAGATGCATCCTAATCAGGATAGTAGGAAGGTGCCTCACCAAAGACTTCAAGGAAACTAGGTGACCCTAGGATCAGAGGGAAGTTTCTCTCATGTAACTGGTTAAAAGATTAGAAACAAAGGGTAGGGATAAATGGTCAGTTTTCACAATTAAATGGAGAGAGGCAAACAGAGGGGTCCCCTAAAGATCCGTACCGGGACCTGTGCTGTGCAACATATTCATTATCTGGAACAGGGAGTGAACGGAGAAGTGGCAAAATTGGAGATGATACAAAATTATTCAAGATAGTTAAGTCCAAAGCTGACTGTGAAGAGTTAAAAAGGGATCTCACAAAACTGGGTGACTGGGCAACAAAACAGCAGATGGAAATTCAACCTGGATAAGTGTGGTGTAAGGCATGTTGGAAAAAATAATTCCAACTACACATCTATAATGATAGATTTTAAATTAGCTGTTACCACCCAAGAACAAGATCCTGGATTCTCTGTGGATAGTTCTGTGAAAACTTCAACTCAGTACACCACAGCAGTCAAAGAGACAAATAGGATTTTAGGAACTATTAGGAAAGGGGTAGCAAACATCATAATGCCAGTATATAAATCCATGGTGTGCCCACACCCTGAATACTATATCCAGTTCTGGTCACCCATCTGAGACAAGATAAAGTAAAACTGGAAAAGACAGCGGGGAGACAGCAGGAGCTGGTGAAAAAGTGCTCAGCACTAGGACAGCATGGCAAGGAACATGGCAAGTTTGACCATTTTAGCAATGTGTGCAAGAGCAGAGCAGAATCCCAGAAAGATTCAGTCAGACTTGTACAAGAGGAGAGGGAGATGGCACGTCAAACAGCAGAAGGTGACATACACTGGATATCTACTCACAGCAGAGGGACTGAAAGCAGATCCCAGCAGAGACAGGCCAGCTCCGGTGGATGTGAAAGGGGCACAGCACTTCACAGGAAGGATACATTTTCTGTCTGTGTTCTGTCACTCCTGGCTGCGGAACCGGAACCCAGACGTCTGCTCGCAAGGCAGGCTGTGTTGTAGGACTGGGCAGATCCCCAACAGCAAGCACTGACACACACAAACAAATTATAATGGATGCTCCTGTCCTGATGTACTACTGTGGTAAGCCTCACCCTGGTACTCGCACCTGCTGCAGCACAGAATGCTGCCCTGGGGAGAGAGACGGCCAGTGGGAGGGCAGCGTGAGCTGGGGTGGGCTTAGAATCCACCCGAAAGGGCAACTGGGGAAGGAGAAGGAGAAGAAGTGAGATGCTGAGCTAGCGGATGAACCAGACCCTGGGTAGGAGCTGAGGTGATAGAATAAAAGTGGGGAACTGAGAAGGAGAAAAAGAAGGAAAATAGGAAAGGTTTCAGATAGAAGAAGCAGAAAAAAAGTAGACCTAGGTATGTGAGCAGACACTATTAGAGAAGGGGAGTAGAGGGAAATAAAATCTACAGATGTATTGGAGAGAGGGTATCAAAGACAAAAAATGAAAGGAAATCAAATTGGTGAAAAAGGGAGCTGATCAGAAAGCTGTGTTAGATGAAAACAGATCCTGAAAATAGTAAACAAGAAGCCCACCCACAAAGGACCTAAATATAGAGAATGACTGTTTGGACATCTATCGATGGAAGACAGTTCAAAGGTGCCTAATGGACAAGTGAGGGCCCACTTGATGAGGAACCCACTTGTGGATAAACTCAGTGAAAAGAGATACAGCCACAGAAACATTGAATCAAAGGAGACCTTCAGGATGAAGAGAAGCAAAGGACAGGACAGCAAGAGTGGCGCTAGACTTCCAGCCAAGGAGGGGAAAAGTTGATTCTTCTCTGAAGTGGCACTGTATGTTGTAGCGTAATCTCTCTTGTTCTTGTTAATAACAATGCATTTGATACTAATTGCACAGCGTGTACAAGTTCACAAAAGTTAATGTGTTGGTATCCTGTAGTTTTATTATTATAAGTAGTAAGTGTTTGGTAATGTTCTATATTATTTATGCTCCTGGTACAGTGTTGG